TTTGAGAGTGGGGAAACTCCCACAACACAATAATCAAATAATAATTGTAAAGTGTTTTTTTTACTGTATGTTTTATCTAAGCAAGTATTTCCACTCAGCAGTCATCTTAGCAATGCGTCCGGGCAGATGTTTGGGTCGTTTTATTGTATTTTCTTTACAAAGTCACCACACTCACACCATGAGCAACAGCTGGCGACTGTGGGGAGGAAGAACTCAAGACCACAAACAAGACAAAAAACAAACTGTGGAAGAGAGATGCCAAATTTAATGATATGCAGCAGTGGCATTAAAACAATATCAGATAAATGCGAGTGCGAGTTGGCTTGATGCAGAAATTCATTTGCATCTTAATCATCTCTCATTTGTTTTTTGTGTTCCTGAGCAGTCGGTGTGGGTTTGATGTTTGTACACTTTGTTTGTGGAAATATTTCATTCTACTATCAGCTGCATTTGCATCATGATTTGAACGCTGCCTCTTTTAAGGGTTTGACTTAAGCAACCGACATGTGCGTTTAATTTTGTCAGATGTTTCAAACTGATGATTAAGAGAAGTCCCAACATATTCACAGGTTGATCAGTTTGTTTTTAAAAGCTTTGAATTCACTTGAAACACAAGTTTTTAATGTGTCGATGAAAGCACACAGACTCGTTTAGGTGATGTAAAGTATGAACGCTGGTCCTAAACAACCTTAAACAGCGATTCGTGTACAGCTCGACCTGCTCTCGTTTGTTTGCGTGTTTGTCTGCCTGTGTCAGTAATGTGAGAAGCTTTTATTCTGAAAAACGTTGAAAGTTAACTGTTCAGTGGTTTACTTTGCTTGCTTCTCCGAAATCCCATTAAAAAGGTTGATCTGGCTTCAGAGCGTTTCCATTTTGATTCTAATATATGTTGAAATATTTGTGTACTTCGATGTTTAACGTTTTTCACAAATTGCAGAATCCAATTTTTACTGAATTAGTTTCATCTAAATTTGAATGCTGTGATAAATTGTCCCGTCCTTAATGTAACAAACTCCATCTCTCAGACAGCGCATCAAATCCATGTTCTACCACGCCTACAACAGTTACCTTGACAACGCCTTCCCCTACGATGAGCTCCGCCCTCTCACCTGCGATGGACAGGACACATGGGGCAGGTGAGGCAGTTTAAAAACTTGAATGTAAAGTACACTTTACTGCAGTGAACTTTTCTTTACTTAGGGTGAAAATCGGGTCAAGTTCAAGGACACAACGTGTAGAAACTTTGTATTACTCACATTTCATGGATTGTTTTCAAACTTCACAACACTGTAGCAGGCCTTAGGGGGCATGAGTATCTAGGTTGACCTTGACCTTCACTGTTAGCACCTAAGGTCAAAGTTTACCTTGAAAAAAATAATAAAGAAACCATGTTGAGTATTATTATGTGTATACACTATTATTTCAATACAAGGGCCTACGACGTTACGATGACCCATAAAGTCACAGCATGAATGTATCCTAAAATCTCAGGTTTCTACAGCTGATAGAAGCCAAAGATTTCAGTCAGTTCTGCTCCA